TATATATATATTATAAGTATCTATAAATCATCTGTAGCTAAGGGAAATGAAAAAATATCTGGTTGACCCAGACCACTAAGTCTTCTATAAAAAAGATTTTCTGAGTGCATTTCTTAAAAATATAGTTAGTGTTTTCAACAAAACTGAGCTGAGAGTCCAGAAATGACCCTAAATATTTAAAGTTTGCCACCGTTTCAACAGGTTGGCCATCAAGTGAAACTGGTTCCACTTTAAGATCTTGTTTGGTGCATTTAATCAATTCTTTTGTTTTGGCTACATTAATACAGTATCTGTAGTCATCAGCATATTTGATTAAAATACAACTCCTGTCATTTATCATGGATTCATTTGTGAAAAGAGAAAATAACACAGGAGAGAGGACACAACCTTGGGGGCATTTAGGAGTTAGTTTATAGCTCAAAGCTAGATGCAGACTTGTAGAGTCATTCATGTTTTTGGTTTCGTTTATTTGCTAGACTGAATAGCCTGGTGGTGGTTTTGTTGGATTGACTAGCCTCAGTGAGAAACAGTTCTCACAATAAGGCTTTACTACCCAACAGGCCCCACTTTTTTCTTAGAAATTTCACAGCAAATATTTGCAAATGGCCTTAGGAATGTTCTTGGGAAACCTGCTCCGTAATGACACAGTTGTTAAACTCATGAACAAATATGCTGAAAAAAAAGAAAGAAAAAAAAAACCCAGATCTGTAGCTGTTGATGCCAAGTGTTTGGAATTTGGACAATAACATGTATTTCACTAAACTCTAAGCAAGTGAATGTTAAAAAAAACTGAATATAGGTTCTTAGCATATCCATGCTAATAAATTCTAAAAAAAAATTTAATAAAAACATTAATAATACAGAAATAAAGTTGTAGATTTTGAGATGCAGTTTTGTGCAGTTAAACATGACTCTTCTGAAAAGACTGTTTATGACTATCAAATTAGAGAAATATAATTTTTCCAGTATACAGTACTTCCGTGTAGGGCTTCAACCCTATCTCTTCTCTGAAACTTGTTTCTGACTAATGAACCAGGACAACATTTTACCAAAATACTTCCTCATAGGATTTCAAATCTCTTTGTTTTCTTAAGAACTTGTTTTTGACTAATGGTAGCACAAACTAAATATGTACACACGTGACAAAATGGTTGGTACCCATCGTTTAATGAAAGAAAAACCCTCGATGGTCACAAAAAATAACTAAATATGACAGAAGTAATAGTAAAGAATATATGAAAATGAACAATTTAGCTGTGTTTTGGGTCATTATCCTGTTGTAAGACACATGACCTGCAACTTAGACCAAGTTTGCTGACACTGGGCACCACACTTTTTTAAAATGTACCAGTGYTCTCCAAAGTAGAGCTATCAGATGCTTCTTAGGTGTGCATGAGTATGCTACTAAATTGGCGGTGGAGGGTGACATGGAGTGGGAGCCCTGCATTATAAAACAGAGAGTAGAGCTGTTTTGTTCATGGAACCGCCTCACTCGGCTGCCTGTCAGGCTGACCAAAAATATATTTTTTATGGGACTGTTCTAATGATTGTCCTTGGGCTACGGAATATGCTACATTGTTTGCTACTTCTGATATAAACTACATTAATATAAATAAACTGCAGTGCAATTTAAATTATTTTAAAAACATATTTTTAATGTCTTCAAAAAACAATGGAAACAGGACATTTGTGGAAAACCAAAATTGAGAAGTTACATTCAGTTTAAGGAGTATTGTRCAGAACTTTATGCTGAATTAAATTTATTTCAAAAACAACGTGTGCCCAGATCAGAAGTGTGCCCAGATCAGAATGCCCCTGGCAGTGGAAGTGGGTAGGTATAAAGGTCTCCCTGAAGAGGAGAGAGTTTGTGTTCTGTGTGACCTCAATGTAGTGGAAGATGACTATCATTTTATTTTCTACTGTCCTTTATATTCTGATTTAAGGTTTTCTTTATTTGAATGTGCAAATTGACATAATGTAGATGAGTTATCTGAGGGAAAAAATTAAGTTGGGTTTATGATAGGGAAATGTTTGCATTTGTTGCTTTTGTTTGTAAARCTTGGGAAAGGACAGCATGCTTCGTATCCTGGATGAGTTTCTGACTGTAATAGTGATATTTWTGTGGGGCTTGTGATATGAATGTAGTCATCCTGTTATGTGTTCTGTGAGTGGAGTGTCTTAAAAGCTCATGAGGGCCGGGCACCAGAAGGGAGGTTGACTACAGTCCCATGGATCTAAAATTTCTGAATAATATGTGCAGCTAAAGTCACAGGAACATGAAGCTGCTTGGAGTTGGTCTTATAACCTTTACCTTTAACATACTTGTCTATGATTTTCCTTCTAATCTCCTGTGACAACTCTTTCCTTCACTTCCTCTGGTCCATGTTGAGTGTGGTTCGCACCATGTCACCAAACAGCACAGTGAGTATCTGTAGCCCTGTATACAGGACCACTCTATTATTACAAGGTTGTAGACACAAGGGATGCTAATTAGTGGACACACCTTGATTTAACATGTCCCTTTGGTCACATTATTTTCATGAGTACCATCATTTCGGTCAAGGCCTGTTTTATGAGTTATATTATTTTTTTATTCTGTTGAATCATGGTTGAAAAGCTGTCTGACTTTCATTTGTTCATTTTCATAATTTTTTAAAAATTTATTATTACTTTTGTCAGATTCTTATTTCTGTGACCATTGTTGGTTTTTCTTTCATTAAATGAGGGGTACCCACAATTTTGTCCACATACATTTCCTATCTTGAAGGGCTTTAAACACTTGTTTCTGACAAACAAAACAGGAAACTATTATTTACCAGTGTTCTTCCTCAAAGGGCTTAAAATGGGACATTGACACAATTCTCATCTTTTTGTCTGTAAACACCACCATGGTGAATTTGAAATGAAACAAGCAAGATGTGCTTTTAACTGCAGACTTTCAGCCTTAATTTGAAGGTATTTACAACTAAATCAGGTGAACAGTGTACAAATTACAACAGTTTGTATTTGTGCCTCCCACTTTTTAAAGGGACCAAAAGTAAATAGACAAACTAACAATCATAAATCAAATTTTCACTTTATAATATCTGGTTGCAAATCCTTTGCAGTCAATCACAGCCTGAAGTCTGGAACACAGACATCAGCAGTCACTGGGTTTCATCCCTGGTGATGCTTTTCCAGACGTCTGCAAATGTCTTCAGTTGCCCTTCAGTTTAGTCTTCAGCAAGTGAAATGCTCAGTAAGATTCAGGTCAGGTGATTGACTAGGCCATTGTGTAACATTTCGCTTGTTTGCCTTAAAAAACTCTTTGTCAGTGTGCTTAGGATCATCATCCATCTGCGCTGTGACGCATCGTCCAATGAGTTCTGAAACATTTGGCTGAATATCAGCAGATACTATTGTTCAAAACGCTTCAAAGTTCATCCTGCTGCTTTGGTCAGCATCCCACACAAGTCAACAATCAAGGAAAGACCAGCAGTGTGACTGCAAAATGTTTACCATAAGATGTAAACCACTGGTGCTCCCCAGAGACAGGAAGGCCACATTAGAGTCATCAAACAACATCTAGATAGATTTGTACCAAAGTGATGGAGAAGATAGGAACTGCTCATGATCCAACACATACCATCTCATCAGTGAAGGTGCTGGTAGTGTCATAGTGAGGGCATATATGGCTGCCAATGGAACTGGTTCACTTTTATTTATTCTGTGGTTCTCAAATATTTTCTGTCATCCCATTCAATTTGTAACGTTTAAGCAAGACTGCTCAGTCTGTATGACTATGCCTGCCTACTGCCAGCCTCTGACCTGGAAATGGTAATCCATGCCTTTATCTCATCCTGTCTTGACTACTGTAACAGCTTGTTCACCTGCTTAAATCAGAAACAATTAAACCAACGTCTGTTTTTAACCAAATTCACCCCAGCTTTAGTGTTGCTGTTACTCTGTATGCTACATAAACAGAAGATCAAAGACGCAAATGACRGACATCGTTTTCGAAAAACAACAGCACACAAGCGTCCTATAGCGTGTATACAAGCATCGACCATAAGTTATCCTAACTTTGGTAAATATCATCTACCTTGCC